TTTTCATGAATAACTATAATCAGAATCATTGAGCTGAAAATGCCTGCTATCAATGTTTTACTTTATATTATTCATTGAAAATAGGGGTATATACATTCTATTTATTGAAGCATTTAACTTTTGACCTTGACAATAGCATAAGCCTGCTATTGTGTACCAGGCTGCTCTGGTCTTTGAATCTGAGATGTAATTATAATTTATTATTCAACTGCACATGTTTTATTTGTCTGGCTATGATAGGTTTATATGAAGAAAATTAGGTCTTATTGCTGTAGTAAGTGTAATGGGCAATGTGTCTTTCCCCCCACCCCCCTTTAGGATCTAACAGAGCATAGTGAATCAGCAGGACAGGCTGGTGGTGCAGCAAGCATCATGAGTAAGCTCACAGAAGTCTGTTCTTTATCACATGTGTAAGGGGGAAAAGGTAAGGGAAAAAATACTTTATTTCTTTTTGAGGCTGATTTTGAGAAAAAAGCTATATGTATAGAAAATAATACTAATATTTATCTACTACTTGCTTCATTTATAGCATAGCACCTTGTTAAATTAGGAGTGATTTTCAAATGACTAGATTTAAATCTAGAGTGAATGAATATTCTAAAATTATTGTTGAATTATGTAAAAATGCTAATTTTCAGTCATCGCCCCTCCCTTATAGAGTTGTTACTGCTACTGTGAACATAGGAAGGTAATTTCAGATGAAAAAGCAGTTGAGCAATATTTTAGGAGAAAAGACCAATTTGTCTATTTAATTAAAGTCATTTAGGTTTCTTAGTCATCATGTAAGATCTAAATAATTAAAGCTAATTTGAAGATGGGGAATTGGTTAGAAAATTTATAAGGGGACTTTGCAAAGTTTATGAGAAAATTCCATTAGCTTTTCGTTCCACTCTCCCATGAACTTACTGAAGCCTCCTGGTATTTAATTGAATGGTTTTATTTTGTGTTTTTAGGCTAATTGTGAATAGGAATACTTTAAAGTAGAAAACTGACAGTATTTTATTCATCCTTATGGAGCAGAAATGTTTGACTATTAACTCAAAACTTATATTTGATTTTGTTTTCAAATGTTCATGATTATTTAAGGCAGTGGTTCTCACCCTATCCATTGTGTGAAGCACATTTGTACATTTGTTGCCGTCATCATTCTCAAAACATTTTCTTTCTACTTGAGCCCTTAGTATCAACTCATTTTTCCCCCTCTTCCCGCCCCCCCACAAATCCTTTATAATTTATAAATTATTATTATTTTGTCATCTTTTACACTGTCCGATGTCTCCCTTCACCCACTTTTCTGTTGTCTGTTCCCCAGGGAAGAGGTTGTATGTAGATCCTTGTGATGGGTTCCCCCCTTCTACCCCACCTTCCCTCCACCCTCCCAGTATCTCCACTCTCACCACTGGTCCTGAGGGGATCATCTGTCCTGGATTCC